GCTCTGGGAGGCAAATTTTCGGCAGGTACCTGTTTGTGCGTGAATAATATCTCTCGATTTATTCATGATATTCTGTGCGCGTGTTGGAGATTTTGAGGTTATCCGACTTCGCTGTGACTTCCAAGAAACAAGAAAGTTAGTTGATGAATTCCTCCTCATTTTTAGGGAAGCCAATATGGAGTATTTACGTTTTTCTGGTCTCAAACCCGAAATTCCCTTAAGAAAATGATACCTACTGATCAATATCTTCAAACTACAACAACAGATATTGCTAAAATTCAAGACATTAAAATAAAAGATGACATCAACACTTCATAAACAGCAACCCAATCAGCAAAGTTGTTTTATAATTCCATGGTGTTGCAACAGTTTTATTTTATTAGTATTTTATAATTACTTCCAAAATGTTAATTCATTATATTAGATGACCGGTGAACACAATACAGTTGTAGGTAATAAAAGTGTTTCATAAATTTGTCATAGAAACGTTTATAAAATAAAATTAAAAAACCAATATAAAATAGTCAGGAAATTATCACAGAAACGTTTTTGCAACTAACTTATAAAACTTATTTTCCTATAAAAGTAAATTGTTATGTAGCAGTTTTATAACACTTTTCTGCGAGATTTTTATGATATTTATAAAACTATTTCAAGCTTATTTTATAACTGTTTCCTGTAGCTTTAATGAAATTATTTTATTGGATAGCTTTCAGATACTATTTCATTTTCATTACCATATTGTCACTTCAATGGAAATTTCCCAACTATTTTATAGTATGGTATATTAACTACAATTCAAAAACACTAATATAACTGTTATAAAATCAAATTGCTTTTGCTAATACATATTTGCTGCCACTAAGAATAAAATGCAGCATTTGAGAACAACCCGCTGACATCGATTCCTAATCACAGCTTTGAAAAATTCTTCAAAATTTTAGTTATGTTTAGTAAGAATATTTTTGTTTAGTTATTCTAGTGGGACACCATCGATATCGTGGTGGAAATTAATTCTTCAGCAACTTCTTAATATTTGATTTTTATTGAGGTACCCCATAAGTAAATTCAATATTTTTAATTCATCCTAAATTTTAGACACTATGGTATACTTATATATGTGTAATATGTAGTGGATTTTTCTGTATCCCGAATATATAAATAAAAATAAATAATAACTCAATGGCGGCCATTTTGAACATTTATTGGGGGGTATATAATAGTTTTAGATTCAGTTCGAGGTGCTTCAAATAAACGAAGAAATGACTTCGTGTTCCATGAAAAAAACTTTCTGAAAGCTTTGAGTTGCCCTGTATATTGTAATAGTAAAAAAAACACTTAAAACTATCCCACCTAACCTAGTGCTTCAATTTTTTATAATGGTTAAAATTCGTTGTTTAGCCTTTATAATCGATGAAAGAAACTTATTAGCCAAAACATCCCGATAGATAATATTTATCCAAACTGTATGTGAGAAATCATTCATTAATAAAAGCACTTTTGTAGAAACCTACAGCTTTAAAAGTAGTCCGACTCTGCCGCAATACCATCACTCCCAGAACTAAGTGTTTCTTAACAGTTTTATAGGGGTAACATAGTAGCTAAAATATGATGAAATGTTTGCTACTGATACCAATTTATTTTATAGAACGACGCCATTTTAAATGATAGCGATCCGGGATACTGAAATTAGATGAGTTGAAAATATGAAATACCGCATATATAATGATATTTACAGCTGAAAAGTACATAAATATTATAACATTATATTGTTTAGAATAAACAAAGTTAAGTTTGTGACTAGAAAATGAATACGTCGACAGAGTTAATTTTTGTATAATTAATAATTTTACCGAAAACATTTATAAATGAGTGGCGCGCTTAAATTTTGCTAATAATAGCCTATATATTTGCCAATAAAATTTCATTTGCAGTAAAAATATCAATCTTCGAAACACAAACAATGTCTTTAAAAGTTTTATGAGTGCAGAAGTGAAATTTTAAAATGGCTCCAACCTTTCTATTTGTTAGTTTTCAGTTGGTGACATATCAATTATATTTTCCTAGTGTCCAATACAAAATTACTTCTTGCGTCTTCAAGAAAACATTTTTAACACTTTTTTATTTTATTGTTATCGTTTTCGGCTGTATTATATTTTATAACGCCTACTTGGAACTACTAAAAAGCTCTTATAAAACTGTCTTCTGATTTTTTATAGGTATCGCTTAAATATGTTGCAGAAGTGCAGTAAGGGAAGTCTTTACAAAACTACTTTTCAAGAGTGTTAGAAAATTTTTATAGTAACTGTCAAAATGTTTATAAAACTGTTTTATAGTGTTTGTGAAAGGCCTTACAAAATATTGATAATAACTATAATGTTTTATGAAACGGTGCCAATTTCCTATTTATAGCAGTTTTATGAACACATTGAAACCATTTCTGGGAGAAATGTAGTTTTATACCTAATTTGTTTCTCCGAAACGTTTCCGCAACTATTATAAAATACGAAATTGCTAGTTGGGAATAGTAGTGATGACTGCTAATGGCAGTCACTATCCTACGGATTGCCATTTGTCAAAAACTCAGACTCCAAATAATGATCAAACAACATTTTGCTCAATTTTAGCATGAGTAAGGCACGTCCAAGTTGATCCTCATGAGACTCCTTCGAAGGGCTGTATCCAACTCAACGAAGCACTGACATATATTATTGTTTATGATTTTTTTATGATAAATAAATACACGGTCTGTTATCTTTGTCTACCGGTGACTTGTTGTTCTTTATATGTCACAGCTAGATAAGGATAACAGATCAGATGTCTACAAACTAACATACGCATCTTGCCCAAAAGTGTATGTGGGACGGACTTCAAGAAATTTCGAAACGAGAATCTCTGAACATAAAAAGGGTTGACCTTCCAATTCCACCTATGTGTGCCCCCTTTTGAAGAACGACCACGATTTTCCCTGTTTATATTTGGCAGTAAAACCTGTCTTCGTTCTTATACTACATTAATGTATGTTCCTTGGATCCAAATTCATTTGATCATAGTAACTTGCAAACACTGAATGCTTCAACTACTTATATTTTAAGTTGTAATTGTTCACTTGGCGAACTGCTGCAAGGCACAACTGCCAGCGAAACATTTTAACCTAAAACCATAGCAATACATTTATCAAAAGGAATGGGGGTCGAGTAAACCCCACTTAATGGGGATTTTGATTTCCCATCCATTACTGCTTCGCTTTCTAGAATCGGAAAGCTTTCAAATGCCAATAGCATACCAAACATACTGTATCGATCAAGTAGATGCTGGAAAACTTGTCCGTTAACGTAAATTTTGGAGCACTTGCTACGTCGCTTTGCAACATATAATTATGATTCGTCTTCCTGACCTTCCAATGAGGTATACATGTGTCCTCAAAAACAAATAAGGAGGACTTGAGTTTGGAGACCAAGAGGCCACTGAATTGTACCCCTTCATCCTATCCAGCGACCTCGAAATATATCATTTGAATGATTAGGCACATTGTATGAGTAAATTTGAGTAGCACTGTTTCGTTGCAACACCATTTCCTCTTCAATGCATGCAGGCTTATTGTTATTCACGTAGTACAACTCACCGGTTTGTACCACGTGAATAACTGTGGAGTTGCTATTGGCTCTGTAATGACAATTGAGGCGATTAAGGCTATGTTTAGTACCAGTTGTACTGAACTTTTTTATTTTCAACAGATCCAGTTTTACGAAATTTTGCCACCAATTCGCCAATAATATGTCTACCAGTATGCCGTTGGTTGAATAGTTTGGCTACTCAATTTTGATATTTATCATTTTTGAAATGAAGTTTAATCATTTATATTTTTTTTGGAATTGAGTACCACATAATTAATACACTTAAAAGGTTTCGGCAGGGCTTTTTCTTCCAGTTTGTATATGAAAGTACCTTCTATGCATGATCTACTCATGATCTACACATCTTTGTGATGACTTTATTTTGAAATTAATTACTTTTTTCCTCCCTTCGAAAGTTTTCCACATTTTCTGTATAAGGATGTAGAAGTTAAAGGAAATCTTTCTTTTGTCTGGAATTAAACCAAATAAGCGTATGCCTGTCATTAATCCATGAAATTAAGTCTTAATGTTATGAATGAATTCAATATTTCATCTTGTAATGTCATTCAAGTCAGTGCTGATGTGCCAATAAAACAAATATCTTATTCCTAAACTTCAAAGTCCGCTATTGAGGATGACAGTGTTCCATGTAAGTGAAAGTTTATATCGTAACTCTTTCATATATTATGTTCTGTAGCGTTCCTATTTATGATATCTGATTCAATTCCAGAACGAATGTTAGAAGGGCAAATTGAATGGAAAAAAGTGGTTTTTATATAACTCAATGATTCTATGAGTTGTCTGAAATTAACTTCTATGCATGATCTACACATCTATATGGAGAAATAGAAAACCAAATACTTTTCATTGTCAAAAACTAGTCTTCTGAAAATAAAACCCGTCGTAGGTCATCAAATAATATTTAAACACTCATCTGAATCTTGCGGAAACAGAAATACTAAAAGTTTTTATTGAATTAGGAAATTGAAAGCCCTTTACAATGAGGTATCACTTCTCCAATTCCTGTTTGGAAATAACTTGGACTATACCCTCGATTTGGAGGACTGAAAGTTTTGCAATGGCTTTTAAAACAGAAACTTTCATTTGGATTTTTTGAAGAGTTTTCTCACCAAGAGTTATGCCTTGAAATATTATTTCGAAAAGTGCATTACAGTAACACGATGATACAAAGACAAAGTTTACACTATGAACGTGACTGCTTCCTTGACAACCATCTATACTAGAGTTTCGTTCAATTTGTCAATACCCAATTTTCGAAATTAATTGCTTTTGATGAACCAAGAATATCGATCATCTATCTTGTAATCGATGTCATGAAATTATTGACTTTGAAAAATAAAAGAAAAATTAAGAATGACTCACCGTTGTGATCACTTATAGACCTTCCCGCCGACGGAGGCGTGTGAGCCGGCGTGTGATGGTGTTCGTGTGAATGAGGCAACCCTCCATATATAGCACTGAAATCCTCCGCAGACGACCCGCTGGTACTATTGCATTTCCTGGTACTCCCCGACTTATCTACATTGTTGCTGGCACTAGTCAAGTGATTGTGATGCTCGTCCAGCAGTCCCCCTACACCGAGGAGGTTCCCCACGCCGACCAGATTTGGCCTCAATTCATCCATCATGGCTTTGCTCTGAGGACAGGCGTTGAAATTCAATTGCCTGCTGAAGATGGCGGGAAAGATGTTGAACTGTTGGTGTGAGAGGTCGTCGCTGGACGTGGGAATCGAGGGGGCAGGGGACGCTCCCAGAGCCCCCAGGCAGGAGGAAACTCCCTTGAAATCCAACTTGAAGCTGGCTTAGACTGTGGATAATGATGGGGTCATGTGAGGATGTACCGTTTTGTTATTGACTTCGTTTGTCTTTTAGCAGGTTTAGTCGAGTTTTATGATTAAATAGGGACTTTACACTTTTGATTATGATGGAGCTGATTCTTGGCACAGTTTTTTAATATAGTTTGTGAGTCTTTAGAGTTTTATCTTGTCAATTTTATGTCGAAGGTTCCACCCGAGTTTTCATCATTAAAAGTCACGAAATGTCACAACACTTCAGCACTTTTCTAGACGCCTTGTTTAGATGAATCTGAAAGAAAAATAATTAAAAAATTGGTGTTTTTCAAACAGGTACAGTTTGTAATTTCGAAACTCATGACACTACAGGAATATTATTGCAAAGAAGCTTAGTGCGGTCAAATGAAAATAAATGTTGGACATAGGTTTTTGCGGATTTTTAGCGGCCATCGACGTTCGTTTCGCTAATCAAGTTAGCATCATCAGGGGAGGGTTGGCTGTCCGGGTGCCCTCTCGTCGTAGCATCGCATTGTCACGGTAATGTGGAGCTCTGCCGTGATTGACCTTCTTTCCCTAGCTACTCGTGGGACTTTAATGGACAGAGTGAACTTAAAAAGTCTTCCTGACGCTGAGTCTACAGAGGAGATGGATGTCGAGCTAACGACTCCAACTGACCTCCCTGTAAATTTAGATCAGGAGCGAGAGCTTTTCAACTCTCTAACTCCTGATCCAATAACTGAACCTAAAAAAAGGTTTGGTGGTGCAGCCACGAAACGACTGAGTCGTTTCCTCAAGAGCGGGGTACCTTATGAAACCACCTTGCACCAAATTCTTGAGCACCGTACGCAGAATCTGTCTCAGGTAGAGGAACAAACCCCCCATGAGCAGGTTAGCAAATGTTTGCGCTCGAGTGATAATTCACCAAAACCAGAGGCGAGAGAGCCCTGCACTGTTGAATCTAAGGCATCGTCAGGTGTAGCTGATGTGCAAAAACCCTCATATTGGAAGGTTGTCGCGGGTATCAAGCACCTTGCACTTCGACTATCCGACTACCTCATGAAACATGAAACCTCATGAAACCGATGAAACAGCAGAGCATATACTTTGTGCCTGCCTCGCTGGGGACTGAATCAGGTTTTTAGAGTTCGGCAGAGCCGTACTCTTACCATCTAACCTGAAAGACCACTCACCTTACAAACTAATTCGCTTCGTTAAGAAGCTGGGTTCATTTGGTCGAGTGTGAATAGGTGTGAGCCATTATAAACCCTTGCGGGTTGCGGTGAAGGGTCGAATAGACCCACTCACTTTGGACCTAACCTAACCTAGCATCATCAGGAGAAGAGTGAAACTTTTACGCCAGATGTTTCCATTCTACTCATCGAATCGATTGTCATATTTAAGGTGGTCATTCATTGCAAGACATTTGAAGCAAAATTCGAAAGTAGTAGGATTTTGATACCTCAAATTTGGTATGTAAATTGAAAAAGACATTGAAATACCTTCTTAATTGTTATCAAAAATATTAAAAGTATCAACAATTTCTTGTTTAGCATCGAAAAAGAATTATCCTATTCACGATGAAAAATAATTTTGATAGTAAGTTGCTTAGAGAAGGTGTATCTTAATATAGGAATCACGTTGAAATATGACCTCGTTAATCCTTAAGCGACCTACACACATGGGAACCTGGTTTGCTGAACAGATAAGTAACAATTTGTATCAATTTCAAATCGAACATTCTAGTATATAAACATTATTAAGATAAATTTGAACATATAAAACAAGCGAATAAAAATCTAGTAATAGACAATTTCAGTCAATATCTGCTTCACCTTCTCTTTTATTGTAAAACTTTCTTTTCCAGTTGAACGAGAATGTTGGACCAATTGATTGCTTCTTAGATAGATTTATTTCCAACAGACATAAACACCCAATTGAAGGAAATGCTTGATTCTAGTATATGAGTATGCATATATGAGTATGACATTGATTACTCAGTGTCACTATTTTCCGTGGATTTTTGAAATTTCTTCCTGACGTTTCGCTGGTACGAGTGGCTAACTTCCTCAGCTTCCACTCGCGCCAGCGGAAAATAGTGATGCTGAAAACCTCGGCCGCGAAAGCCTTAACCATTTTGATAACCCGTTATCCTTATTTTGCATCTGAAGTTTTTCAAATACATTAACTACCGTTGCACGAAGATTATCAAGGCTTTTGATTTTGAATTCGACTTGAAGTTTGATTCGACTTTGATATCGTCGGAAACACAGTCTCCAACAGAGAGACAATACAAGCTATTCGCCGTCGTTTACCATGAAGGCAAAAATGCCAACATTGGACACTACGTGACCGATGCCTTCCACGTCGGCTACAATTGCTGGATTAGGTACGACGATTCTTCGGTCAAGACCGTGCAAAATGAAGACGTATTGAAACCCCAGGGAACGCGAGTTCCTTATTTGCTGTTCTACAGGAAAAGCGATATTTTCCTATCTAAATAAGGTTGCGTAGAGTTACGTAGAGTTCAGCGTCTGGAATCTTACGGAATTTCTCGTTTAAATTTTAATTGAAATTGATATTTTTTTTGGTTTTAATGAATTATTTTATTCTTTCATTAGTGATAGGTATTGTTCAATTTTTAATGTTATATGTATATTTGATTTCGTTGGAACTAATATAAAATTATTTTTGAAATTGATTACTATTGACTGAATTACAAATATGCGAAATAACAATAAAAAAAGTACATGGAAAAAATAAATACTGAGTCCTATTTATATAATCTTTGTAATTGTGAATCGGAATTAAAAATTACATTAGGTTTCTAGAAGAATGAATATTTTCAATGTATTTAGGGATAAAACTGCTCTATATATATCTTTGGAAGAATTCCACATTTTTCATATAAAGATGGAGAGGTAAAAAGTCAAAACTTTTCTTTGCCAATACTCCAGTTGTTTTCAATGATTCATTAAATATAATAATAACAAATTTCAAATAATTTCTGAGACGATGAAATTTCTTAGAGGTGCTCTTCCTTTGTTATAGTCATGTATCTGACACGTAAAAAATTCATTTTAAGTTGCTAGGACTCGTACATTAAAGCCTTAGGCCTCGTTAATCCATAGCTCGCATAAGTTTCGACTTTTGAGGCTGTCGTTCGTAGTCTTCTAAATTGAAAGAAAGTGTAGATCGCTGAAGACTAGATCAAGCATATCAAATGTGAATGAAATGAAATATGTATTGATGAAGTAATCACTGATTATTTCCGCTTTAAATAATGCGGTAAAAACTGTGTAATACCTAATTTTATTTAATTATAGAGAAACCGTTATCTTACACAAATTTTAAATTACTTTTTTAATTCCAGATAATTGTAAAGTTCAATTTTTTCTAACACCAGTATTGATGTAAATAAAACTTGCTGATCAAAAACAAACAAAATGCATTAATATTTATGCTACTGCCGATTCTTATACTTCATTACATATTTTACACAGAAATAAAAACATCTTGACCATGCTCAGACGTGATTTGGTATATAAGATTTGCAAAAAATTAGGTAATTTTAATGAAATTATTATATGAATGATAATAATTGGATTGAATTTTTAGAGATGAAAAGTTTCTTCAAAAAGACGGTTCATAATAAATATGTGGTATGATTCAATTAACTTTGAAACCATTTGATAGGCGAGATGGGTTTCTTTTTACTGTCAAGAAAAGAGTCATCTATATACATAAAACATGTAATAATCCCTCAACTAATTTGGGGAAAAAATCTGAAATAGATAGAAGTGTACCCTTTTGTATTTGTGTATGAAGTGAATTCAATTTTGGAATTACTGAATGAATCATATATTCCCATTTGTATGTTAGGGATATAGATAAGTCATATATGAGTGATAATTTCGTTCAAAGCTATGAAATAATGAAAAAATTGACGCGAAAACAGAGTTTAACAGCGATAAACTGTTTCTTTCAAGTAGCGATAAAACGGTTAGTCGTGAAATTCATATCTATCATTATTAAAATGGATTTAATTTGAATCATATATCGATGTGTTCGCTTGAGAATATTTCAGAATACCACTCGACCTAAACAATTTCTCAGATGAATGTTAAATTTTTTAAATTGAAATTTTTCACTATTTTTCTCAATGCATAAAAAAGATGAAACCGTGCAAGGCAGCGATTGATTTCATTAGATCTGTTAAGCGAATTGAAATGAACATATTTTTGCATATTTTTGTCAGATAATCATAGTTTTCAAAATTTAATAATTTTGAGCTACTTCACATGAATCCCAAGTTTTTTGAGCTTATGTAATTATTTCCTTTTTTTGCAAAATTTTGAAGCGAATTCTTTCGTTTATAATGGGATAAAATTCCTCGTCCCACGGTCTTAACATTTCATCAAATTATTATACACTCAAGTTATTTGTTTGGCAAAATTTCAAAAATTATTTTACACATTTTAACCGATGAAACAAGTCAAATCAAGATTTGAAAATCATTTTACATTTCGTGAAATTTCAGCCATAAATTTGAAACCTTGTAGCGAGTGTTGCAGATCCAAATTTTTTTTAATAGAAAGTTGGGGCTTATGCTACATTTTTTGAAATGCATTTTCTTCAGTCATGTGAAATTTTCACTGCTTTCAAATGTAATACAAAAATTAACATTAAAAAAATAAAACCATCATCAGATTGCTTAAATTTGCTAAATCTTGGGAACTTGGGAAAAAGAAAGAAGAACACGAATTTTGAAGTAGTTGACGTTCAAAATCATAATATCCTAATCGTGAGCGTTATTCTTTTTCAGCTGTATTCATTTTAATTTTATATACCAACTTCGCATATGCCATAAAAGGAAGTCTATTGGCTTAAGATCAGGTGATCGTTCTGGGTTTTCGAATGTTCTGACGA